GTTGGGCTAGGGTCAACTGAGTACCAGTGTTGGGCATTCTCAATGGGAGATGTGGACATTGTGTCTGATGCTGGTGTTTGGGTATAGTGCTCACAAAACCCTGGCGTTGCTGCAATGTTTTTGTTTGGCATTGTAGTGCATCCCCTCCTAGAACCCCATGGTGGGTGGAGTAAGTGGGCACTGAATCTTTCTCTTTTCATTATGGATCCCCCAAATCCTCAGAAAAAATAAAATAGTTAAAAAACAGCTAATTGGTAAATGACTACATCTTGTAAACTCTAACCAGCAATCTTCAACCCATTCTGAACCTGTACCTCGTTTTTTGTCAGACAAACTTTCAGGGCAAATGTCTCCCTTTTTTTATTCAGAAAGGATTAGAGGGGCCTGACATCTTGGAGGAAACATCTACACCAAAACACATCAAACTCTTCTTGAATTTAAAGGATATTGGGGTTACTTGCTATTGTTCTGATTTTAACTGGATCTGGCAGGAGGATGTTTTTCCTGATGATTGGTGCTAGGCTATTGTCCTCCCTTTCTCTAAGCCTGGGATTGATCCCAAGATTCCTTCTAATTATTGTCCAATTGCTTTGACTAGCTGTCTCTGTAAGGTCTTAGAGAGGATGGTTGATGCTCATCTTGTTTGGTTCCTTGAATCAAACAACCTCCTCTTGCTCACCCAGTGTGGGTTCTGTCAACAGCACTCCACCATGGACCACCTGATTCAACTTGAGACCTTGATCAGGGAAGCCTTTCTCAAGAGAGAACATCTTGTTTCTGTTTTCTTCGATTTTGAGAAGGCTAATGACACTACGTGGAGGTTTGGCATTTTGTGGGACCTCCACTCATATGGGTTGTGTGGCCATCTACCCATTTTTATTCATAACTTTTTATTCGACAGGTGATTCCGAGTCTGTGTGGATTCGACACTTTCCCTTTCTTTCACACAGGAACATGGAGTCCCCTAGAGCTGTGTCTTGAGTGTCACACTTTTCAGTATAAAGATCAATGCTATCACTACAAAACTTCCTCCTACTGTTACTAATGGCCTCTATGTCGACGACTTCCACATCCCATGTAGGTCATTGAACATGGGGTTTATTGAGTGACAGCTTTAGACTGCCCTCAGTCGCTTGTTGAAGTGGACCACAGCAAACGGTTTTACCTTTTCTTTTTCGAAAACCGTTTGCATGCATTTTTGCCACCAACCAGGTCTACACCCTAAGCCCTGTCTAGTTGATGGTGTTCTTCCTGTGGTCCCTGAGGCAAAGTTCTTGGGGCTTATCGTTGACCATAAGCTTACTTTCATTCCTCACATAAAGCAGCTACATGTCAAGTATACAAGGGCACTGAACATCCTCCTTGTCCTCTCTTCCACCTCTTGGAGAGTGGATCAATGTTTTATGCTTAAGATCTATCATGCCCTTATTTGATCCAAACTGGATTATGAGTCTATGGTTTTGCCAGGACTTCAGCCTTGAAGATGCTGGACCCCATTCACCATCTGGGGCTTCGACTCTACGTGGGGGCTTTCCACACTTCTCCAGTCCAGAGTTTGTACACTGAGTCCCATGAACCTCCTCTTCACCTCCACCATTTGCAACTTTCTCTATAGTATGCAACCAAGCTTCAATCCTTACCACAGCATCCCACCTGGGATTGTGTCTTTCTTTCTCAGTGAACTGTGCCCTTTCAGAACAGACGGTCAGCAATTCCTATCTTTGGCATTCATACCCAGGCACAACTGGCTGAATTTGTTCTATGATGATGATGTTGCTGTCCCCAATGATCAGCCCATTCCACCATGACTTATTACCATCCCTGAATGTGATCTTTCCTTGAGTCATCTGAGGGAGGCGGATACTCCTGAGTGAAGTACCGTCTTCTCTTTGCTGAACATCTTTTGACCAATTCTTCTATTCCTATTTATATGGATGGTTCGAAATCAGGTGATTTTGTGGGCTCTGCCATGATTTGTTGTGGCTCGGTGGTTGCTCACAGGATCCCCTCTACAGTTTCTGTGTTCACTGCTGAGTTGTATGCCGTTTCTCCTACAGCGATTGTACTATTTACACTGACTCCTTTAGCTCTCTACTGGCCCTGGAATTGCTTAATGTTAATTCTCACACTGTTCTCGTCGATATTCAACAATTTACCCATTTTTCTCTTATCTTCTGTTTCCATCCAGTTCTTCTGGGTACCTGGCCAAGTCAGTATTCGCAAGAACAAGCTCGCACTGCAGCTAAGTCCACCTGCTCTGGTGCTATCATGGCTGTGCCTGTCCTATATATGGACTACAGTCCTGCATTCAAGGTGTGGCTTCAAGCTGGCAGTTGACTTGGGGTGAGAAATGTCATAACAAGCTTTTCCAGATCATACCTTCTGTTGCTCTTTGTTACACAGATAAAACTAATGCAGTCTGTAAAATTAAAAAAAAATATTTCAATACAACAACGTAATATGGAGATTGAGTGTATTATATTAAAACACTTTTGGAACTTCATCATGGTATTACACTCCATGTCGTCAAGTTTAATCATACTCTACCTGACAAGCATACCTTTTAACAATAGCCCTACAGTATAGCTTACATAGCTAAAGGCATCTTCATAAGGCTGCCATGTCCAAAGCACACCCTTCGTCCTTTCCAGAAGCTATGTAGTGTAGTGCAGTTCCCAATGCTCAACATTAATCTCAACAGTCAAATCATACAGAAATGCATAGGTACTGCATCTGGCAACTTAATTTGTATGTTTTTAAATGGAATAGCATTAATACACATCTTGTTCTGTAGTTGCTTAGGGTATGCAACTGTTGATCACATGTATCATGTAAGAAGTTGTGTCACTTCTTTTCCAATTGTAAATTACTCTTTATTGTGTTGCATACTGTTACCTGGTGTACATAGATAGCTTTTGCCACTGATAAAATTTTGTATGTGTGTATTCTCAACCATTACAAGATGCTGTACTTTGCTTATCATGGCTTGGATATAACTTGTTGTAGGTCTCTATTTGGATGGTCCTGGTATCCCTAGTTGATTCACATTCCTTTGTTTAATAATACCATTAGGTGCAAAGTATATCCTCGAGATGGAAATTCTAAATCCCTGATATGAACTTATGATTTTTTTGCATTGGAAAGTGTTGTTATGTAACATTACACTACCTTAAAAAATGCCAAACAATGTCAAACATAGGTTTGATACATGCCATTCCACCATGACTTTATATCGATTGTCGTTGTAACGTGATTTCTGATTTGCATATTCAGATTTTTTTAATATAATATACTCAACCATCATTATTTGTACGTTATTATCTCTATAGTATTTATGTATGTCTGAATTTATTTGATTTTTGAACTTCTTCCTTGAAATTTTGCTCATGATCCCCACAGAATATAAATAAAAAAATTCTTTTAAAAATATTCCTAAGGATACTCATATGGTTTTTTTAGCAGGGCTCTTAGATTTGACTCAACAATTTCAGTAATTTTGAAATCTGAGCCTGTAAAAAAAATAAGTCTGTGGTAGAATTTCATAGTGTGTGTGATTTTAAACATGTACCATAGCATGTTTCCTCAATTTTTACAACTAATTCCTTATGCTAATTCTGAATAAGGATGTACAATTGACTTCTAATTCCCACATCTTGGATTTCAAAGGAGCTAGATCATTTTATGGTATTTCTCATACAAGATAAAAGATACATTGTTATCATTCTTCATCCAGAAACTCCAGTCCGAGATTAAGACGAGTGAATCTAGTTTATGCGAGTTTCTCCAGGTGTCTCACGTCTTGCTGACTGATCAACCACCCAGCCTTCTTCCTGAAGACTCCAGTGTTCAACATGGAAGTGTGAAATTTTACAGCACAGGTCAGAAAGCACTGCTTAAATTTACTGTAGAAAAACAAAAAATCATCATTACCTACACAGTTTTTTATTCCAAGGGAAAATACATACAGATATTTGATGTTATAACAATCGTGTATTCTGCTACACTGGTAGGAAGGAGCTTAGTTTGTTGCTATTTATTATAAACAACGTCAGAATGACGAAGAAGGACAATACATATGTATAATCCCCCCCACACACACACATACAAGAGTACAGTAATAAAAGTTTTACTGTTTTTAAAAGATAATGAAATAATTACGTAATGTTATGTGTCCATCTAGGAGGAAGAATGGAAGAAGTGAACTTTACAGTGGTGTTATTTCCAGCTGAAAAAGCATTATGTGGTAGGTGTCGGCGTTACACAGCAAATAGTCTAGCCCATCCTTGCCAGTATTGCTTAGATGTTCTGGGATCACAGTGGAAAGAGTGAGGATACGTATCTAGATTACAAGGTATGGTTGTGCTATGTCTACTCAATATCAACGAATTAAGTATACTTGAAAGAAGCTTCGTCACTACAAAACTAGTGCTAAATCGAACATCACAGGAGGATGTATATATGAACAAGAACTTTTATAGTCTTAAGAATGGCAATAGATAGTGGAAGAAAAAATCAAACAGAAATATAAGTATTTGTGAAGGACAAAAGCTGAAATTGAAAGTTTTATGCTGGTGTTATAAAACATTATGGCAGAAGGACACTTTTGAACCTCACCATCTTAAAAAAAAAAAGATTTTAGATGATGTTAAACAGTTTGAGAGAGTTGTTACATTGAAAGTTTAGTTATCCAGAAGATTATGAATAATGTTAAACAGTTTTGAGACAGCTGTTATATGGAAAGCTTTGTTATCCTGAAGATTACGAATAGCATTAAACAGAGTTGAGACAGATGTTATATTAAGAGTGTAAAGTTATATTGAAGATTAAATGCACAAATACTTTAACTTAGGTGTACATACACTGAAATTGCTAAAGATAACACTGTTTACAATCTAGACTAAAATAAACTTAAAAAGCTGATGCCCTTTTCTACTTAGTAAATATTGTGATCTAACAGTAAATAATCCATATCACAAAATGTTGTTACACCGTTGATTTGATAACTACAGTTTGTGGTTTTACCCTCTGAATGCACCAATACAAAAACTTGAGATTTGCATGGTTAAACAAAAAAGGTGTGTGTGTGTGTGTTTATGTACCTATAGGATACTTTGCTTGTTAATGACATTTTTATATTACCAGCACTATGATGTTTTTAAAAACTTATCACATTAAATGGGTATGTGACATGGAGGGATGTAATAGCTAATTTGGTCAGATTGCTTCTTTCTTATCACTTTATTGAACAGTTTCAAAACTGAGATATGCATGGATAGATATCTCAAGCAGAGTAATCAGTTCACATGATTAACATTTTCTTCAGAATGGATAAAAGTTAAAAAAAAAATTGTTCCCTTAATAGCACATGTTTTTAAAAAAGTATTCAAAAATGAAAGACAATGTACAATGTTTATTTAAGTTATAATTTTCATTTTTCCAACATATCTTAAATACAGTCTTGACAAGTGACATATTTAAGTGTCTCATGATCAAAACATTTTACAGCTCATTTACTTGTATTCTTGATAAAGTATTATTAACCATGACTTGAATAATGTTTTTTAACCAAATTTATTTACATCCAGCTAACAGAATTTTAGAGTGAACTTATAGGCATACTGATTTCAAGTAGAAAGAGGTAATTATTTCTTTATACAAATCCCTAATTAGGCTTCAGTTGGAATTCTGTGTCTAGTTTTGGTTTCCTTTCTAAGAAAGGATACTAAAATCTTTTCTCTTCAGAAAAGATGGGTAAGAGGTGATCTTCTGATTGTGCTATATTCTGAAGATAATAGGATGAGAGGACACAAGTTTAAGACTTGGAAATTACAGATGAGGCTCCAGTAAAGACATATTTTTCAGATATGGGTGATTGGCTTTGGAGTGAGTTGCTGTTTGTGATAATGGAGGCCAATGCTTCACAAGAATTAATGATTTCTTGAAAAATAACATGTACATTTAAATTTTTACTTTTTCTGAAAGGTGCCTGGGCTGTGTTGTTGCCTGTATGTTATCTTCAAACTTGCTTCAACCTATTGATAATGAAAGATCTTAATTCCATTCTTAAAAATTGGAAAAGCTGGATATTTGTGAAATCAACAGACAAAACAGACTCACATCGAAAAGTCTGATGATCAAAATATTTTATGGCTCATTTACTTGCATTCTGGACATGATATTAAAATAGCTTACTTTTATAGGCCTTTATCTACCTAACACAGTACTGTGAAAAAAATTTCTGATCTAAATATTTGAATCTTATAACTTTTTCTACATTTAATATTAGGCAAAAACTTTAAAAATTCCAAAAATATTTTTCATAGGACTATTATTAACCTTTATTACAAGTAAGTTTTGTCCTTTTTAATATCAAATTTAAACAAAACCAATGTTTTCACTCTTTACATTCAAGTAAGAAATTTTCACAGCAGATTCAATTAATCATTAAAAGTACAGTGTATATATATATCATTTCTGTTAATCTTTGTACAATGGACACAGGCTAGCCTATAGTTTCTTTGCATGTCTGTAGTACATTACAAAATTTAAATTATTTCCTTTACCTTGACTATAACTGAATATTCATACTGTATTAAGTTTTCTTAAAACTTTTCCAATATCATTCATGTAGGAAATAAATACAAAATGCCAATTTATAGAATCAGAGGCTGTTCTTTATACACAGAGCATGATTTAGTCAGTAAGACTGTTCAAACACTTTTTAAGAGGAAATAATTATATAGAATTAAAAAGTTTATTAATCACTTGAGTCATAAAGACTGCAGGGGAAAATGGTCACGTCCAAAATAATCTTACATATCTGACAGTAAATATTGAAAAATTTACATTAATCACAAACTCAGTAGTAATAGCAGTAAATGTTGTTTACTATATTTTATTTTTACCATGATAAAGTTGATGTAGAAAAGCATCAAGAGTTGATATTGTTCAGTTCTGTCATACTCTGAATGGTTTCTAACAAACTAATAGCAATTTCCTGTTCACTGTGATTCTCTGGTAGGCAATTGATCACATGACTAACAAGAAAGGCTGTATTTTGAAGAGGTGGGTTGGTGCAACGTAATCCCTCTGCATCCTGGAAAAACAAAACATTTCAATATTTGAAAGCATGTCCTACTGGATAATAACTCCATTTATTTTCCTCTTGTATATTTCTAGAATAAAGAAAAAAGTCAGTGTGATGTGCACGTGGTTAGTTGATTGAACCAATTATGTGTATCTACACAAAATGTGGCAAACTTTTAGTAAAATGTACAATTCTTTACACCAAAAATTAAATGCGTTACAAAAGTATTTGTGAAATGATGTCAGAGTGCAAGGTAATGTTCATATTTTTGTCCATCATACAATTTGCATACCTATATATTTTTTTTCAGTATATCTGGTATTTACACTTCTCTACCAGCAATGTTAAGGTAAATGAATAGTTAATAACTAACAACAAATACATAATACCTTGTTGAATGGCACTATAAAAGGTTATGGCCTGTGCACTTTGGCCCCTACCCATAAGGTTAATAACCCAAAAAGAAATACAAACCAACACTCTAATGTGATCATTTTCATATGCACTAGTTCAAAGCCATACATCACTCTACCATGAAGCATTTTATAAAATATACACCTGGAAAAAAGTTAAGCACCCCCGTGTTTTTTTCAAGTGATTCAGATTCGACGTTCTTGTGACTGATTATAAATTACCATTCAAT